GTTACCAGTATAACTAATAAAATTCTATTTAGAAAAGAATTAGTCTTTTTATGTACTTTAGTATTTCATTTGGAGTGTTGATCTCAATTTTTAAAACTTCTTTTAAAACTTTTAATTCTAAAAGTATATCTAAGCCATTTATATCCGTAAATACATCATGTTTTAGAAAAGTTTCAAATTTAAGAAAATGTTTTTACAAATTATCTTCATTTAAAGATTTTAATTTTTCACAACTAAATAAAAATCCAAAACTATTTTTATATGTTTTAAATTGTTCAAATCTTTTTTTTTTAATTAAAGAAAGTGCTTGATCTACAACATATATAAAGTAATAATGTCACGTCTCTTCTCCGTCTCCCACGGATGAGATGCGATTAGATTTTTAATATACATGTTTATAATTATTATAATCTGGACTAATTAAACATTAAATAATTCCACAAGTGCAACACCACCACCCATCACCTTAGTCATTAAGCATGATGGTAGAACCTGTCTCATAACCTGTATCATATATAAACACTGCAACAATTATGGACTTTAGTGACAAATTTTTTAGTGACCAAGTTATTTTCGTCATTAATGATACCTTTTTAGTGATGACATATGAAGTTGTCACTAATGGTCTAGGATGAGTGACAAAAACACTATTTGTCATAAAAAATTAACTTTTAGTGATGAATAATTATTTGTTGTTGTAACTTCATCACTAGAAGTGTAAGAAATTGGATAAATAGTGATGAATTTTATTATTGTCACTCAAAATGATAAACAATTACTTTTAACAATGAGATTAGTTGTCTCTGAAAGTTTCAAAGTTTTGGTGATAACTTTCATGTCGTCACTAAAGCGTTAATGACTTTAGTGGTGACTTTGATGTCATCACTAGAACTTTTATAGTTTTAGTGATAACATTTGTGCCGTTATTAAAAATTTTATACTTTTAATGATGATTGGCATGTCGTCACTAAATTTTTTATATTTTTAGTAACTAAATTAATTATGTCACTAAAAATAATTTAGTTTATGTCACTATATTGGTGTTGTCAAGTGACTTATTTTATATTGTTTGGCAAATTTTAAATTATACCACATCACCTCTTAACCTGCAAAAATAAAAAACAAAACGCACTTATTATTTCTACACTAAACTACACCTTTATTAAGTTTGTTAACAAAATTCTGAAACATCTTTAATACATAAAAATAATAAAACCAAAATTTTATTTAATTTAAATATCAATACTTATGCCACAACCTAGTTATTATAGTGATTGTAAGGCAAGTTGAAGAAAACTCGAGTTAAATCAAAATTTTTAAAACTCTCAAGCTGAGCTTAATTCGAAATTTTCAATGTCAGTCATGGTTTGAAATTGGATGATATGCGAGTAGTGGTAAAATTTGAATCAAAATCGATTTCAATTGAGGTTTGATTTTTGAGATAGATAACATGGATAGAAATTCAAGTTAAAATCCAATTTAATTGAAGTTTGAATCTCAAGTTACGCAACTATGGCGTAAATTTGATTTCAATTGAATTGGATCCTAAAAAGTAGAGACATAAATTGAGTATTGTTTGATTTTAAATTGGATTGATAATTTTTTATTCAAACTTTGCTCAATATTGATTTTTTTTTTTTTGGGTTGGCCTGCGTTGGATTTTAAATCTGACCCATCAAATTTCACTTTTACACCAAGTTTCACCTTTCATGAACCATCACCAAATCCAAAGTGGTGTGACTCGAATTATATTGGGTTATGTTTGGGTAATGTTATATCACGTTTGTGTTAAGTATTAGACAACCATAACTCGATCAGTTTAATTAATCGTGTTAAATATTTAAATACTAAATAGATAACCCATGAATTAATTGTGTCACTTTTGAGTTGACTTATATAATTCATGAATTAAAAATATTTTTTGGGCGCGTTAAAAAAATTTAGATTTTATTACACATCTATATAATGAGGGACAATAGAATTTGAATTCTCAACTTATAAAATTGTTTGAACGTTCTACATTGTTTCAAAATAATTAATTCAACAAAAAATATTGACCTTTAAAATTTTTTATTTTTGCGTCCGTCCATCATGCCATCTGATCCTAAATTTTTTATCACCTAAAATCTCTTCCATTATTTTTTTAATATCTTAATAATATAATCATATTCCCTATTTTTAAATCAAAATCCCTAAAATTCTATCAGCAAAACCCTCCCTTTTTTATTTCGGTATCACCAGGCGCAGCAACCAGTTTGCCCCCTCCTCTGTCTCTCCATCCCATAACACCCAGCAAAGCAAAATCTCTTTCTCTGTCTTTTGCCTTTTCTTTTTTTTCCTTTCATTCACTCCTCACTTACAGGCCACCCATCTCAAAGTTTGGTAAAGTTAAAAGGTATGCTATTCTTTTGTCTTACATAGAATTGTTTTATTTTGATAATTTCTTTCGATCTTTTTGTCTTACAACGTGTTGTTCTTGGGTGATTTGTCATTCAATTAATTAACAGGTTTGATTGCCCATTGAATTTCAGTATGTGTAGTGTACTTTTAATCTATTTTATTTGGTGAATGAGAATTCAAATTTTCAAGAATCAGTAAGAATACCGTTTTGCTCGAATTGGTCATCAAATTCAACCTTTATCGTGAAATCTTGTAGATTAATTACGATCTTAGGAATTGTGCTTTGGTTTTTCATGCAACATCTCTTGACCATTAAAATAATTTTTGTTTTTAAGGCTTGAACACAAGTTTTTNTTTTGCTCGAATTGGTCATCAAATTCAACCTTTATCGTGAAATCTTGTAGATTAATTATGATCTTAGGAATTGTGCTTTGGTTTTTCATGCAACATCTCTTGACCATTAAAATAATTTTTGTTTTTAAGGCTTGAACACAAGTATTTTGTCAAGAAACTGAATTCACACATGCTCATATTATTATGTGAATCTGTGTTGGTTAGTTTGCTATTCTTTAAAACATATTAGTTGTGGTCCAATGGCTCTATTGATAGGCCTTCGGGTTGGACCGTAGCTGAATTTTTTANATTTTGTCAAGAAACTGAATTCACACATGCTCATATTATTATGTGAATCTGTGTTAGTTAGTTTGCTATTCTTTTAAAACATATTAGTTGTGGTCCAATGGCTCTATTGATAGGCCTTCGGGTTGGACCGTAGCTGAATTTTTTAGACTGCAATTTCCACAAACCTTGACACTAGTCCATTTAGCATACTGGGCAGGGGCGAATCTAGCATTGAGGTAGTGGAGGAANCCGTAGCTGAATTTTTTAGACTGCAATTTCCACATACCTTGACACTAGTCCATTTAGCATACTGGGCAGGGGCGAATCTAGCATTGAGGTAGTGGAGGAAACTGACCCGCTAAAATTTTGAAAAATTAGTGGGTTTAATTGAAATTTTAAAATAATTTAAGACTTGCCCCCACTAAAAAATTTAGGAAACAATTAGGGATAGTTTTAATTTTTCATTGAAGATGATAATTAGTCATCNAGTAAAATTGGCTTTGGTTGTTGACAATTGCACTGCTCCTTCCCTGGTGCTTTCAGTAAGTTCCGCACGAGCTTCCAGAAGGCATTGCCCTGAGACAGTACCAAAGGAAATGGTTACAGCAAAATTTAGGCACAATACTGGTCAAGGAAATGATATTGAAAGATTCAATTCTGCACCATAATTCTAACTTACCTTGTCATCTCCTTGCTTGAAATCAAACGCTCCAGGTCCATCAGTGGTTCCTGCAGCAAAAGCAAAACCCATTGCAGCTGGGCATGTTTTCACTGTCTCAGTACGCCCTCCCGCCTTAGAAATTGTGACCTCAAGATTGGAGAAGTCTACATACATGTGTTTATACCCAATCTTCCCTTTCAGCTGCTCAGATGCTTCGTTGAAAAGTTCCACAGCTTTTCTGAATTGCCTTTCTCCGATAATACGTGTACTTTCAAACTCATCAGGGTAACTGCCACATGAACATATCCAGTTCAGATCCACTATGTATCAAACTACTAGAATGCATGTGCTTCAATAAGTTTAAAACCTTGGGATAGCACTTACCCTGGGCCCCGGCCATAGCACAGTTCATTTTTACCATTGCAGGTACTATGATTGAAATCACAAGGCAGTCCAGTGTCTATGCAAAATGCACCACGAACATTTGGGCTTACATCGCCACAGTTTGATTGACAAAATGCAGATACAAATTGGGGCCTGTCAACCTGCCTAAGGGCACTCCGAACTCGTCTTGCAACACTGGACATTCTTGTCGCAGGTCTTCCTGGGGAAGATTGAAAGGTGGAGGCAAGTTCCATCAACTCTTTACCTGTGACAGAGACAGATTAAATAATGAAGGAAGAATTTAATTCTTTAGTGAAGGATGGGAACTGTTTTCCAAGATGCGTTTAATTTTCTCTTGCAATTACCCAAAGGTGCTATTTCAGATAGATTCAGCAGGTATAGCTCAGGTTTACCCACCCACCCAGCCCCACCATCCCTCCAACACTCCCAAAATTAAATCCCAGAGTAACAGGCACAATAACTACACAATCCATTTTCCTGGCCTAAATTCTGTAGTCATGTTAGGTAGTTGAACAAGCAGCAGTAACTTACGTTGTTCATGAAGGTTAGAGACTATGCTTGAGACCCTTCGAGGTATGCTAACGGTTCCAGATAAGTTTGAATAAATGCGTTCAAAACCCTCATTAAAGAATTTTTTTGCAAACCAATCCTCCATAAATCGTGCAGCAGCACCTTTGTTGTCACCACTAATCAATGAGTTTGTACGACTCATAGATGTTCCATGAGTTGCAAACCAGTTAAAGCTACCCACTGGGCCCCAATCATCGTCTACAAACTTTATGAGGGTCATTTCTTTATCCACATCATACTTATATTTACTCCGTTCTGCAGCAGGATTGTTGAGATAAGCACTAGGGCTACGGTTTACACCTGCATCTAAGAGCTCTCCTGCAAGATCATGATTATGCAATAACAAAATTTTAGTATGTATGAACAAAGTCTCAGACTGATATAGAGATTTATCGGAAACGTAAGTAGAACTGAACGCACATCAAATGCATCTTGTTCCAAACTATATTTCTCTTCTTTTTAAAATAAGTCCATCATGTTTCAACCTATCCAATTGAAAGGGCCTTGGTTCTGAACCCAAAAGTTCATATGAGGCTTTGTGAGGTTCCCGTCATGCGCTAACCATTACCATTAACTGATGCAAGACCATTAAGACATGCAAAAGTTTAAATGTAGATCTTGAAGTAAACATGCATGAATTGAAATGCTAGAAGAATAAGAGAACAGAGTAGATAACAGTATAACATCTAAGACATTAAAGGACCAATTAAAGTATTACCAACAGCTTTAAGCATTGTTTTTCATACTGGACAGTCTGGAGAGAATAACAACTCTGGCACCATAAACGATTAAATTATCCAAAAACTTGAATTCAGAAATTTCTAAAAAGAAAAAAATGAGTTCCCCATAAGGTTTTTAATAAACTAGGTTTGGATATAGATTTATATTCCCCAAACTGAAAAAGAAAAAGCGTCTTCTGTCATGCATCATCTTCCTACTAACTGCCCTAGCTATTGGACTTCTTTTGGCTTCAAGTGGAAAGCAGGTAGTTAAAGTCTCCATTTGGAAGGTAACCTTGCCCAAAGGTGGTAGATTCTTGTTGCAACATGCAGAAAATATAAATGGAATTGTTAGTTACAAAAATTACCGCCATTCACAGAAATTGAGCCGGGACGAAGATTCTCATGAGCTTGTATAATGCTTTTCTCAATGCCGTCAACAATGACATCAAATGATTGGCGTACAAATCCAAGGGAAGTAACAATATACACAAGATATTGGAGATAGCCTCCTGGCCCAGCATGAGTGTGAATACCACTGATAGCGACATTTTGTTCATTGTACAGGTTACCATACCTTCAAAAAGACAAATGAAAGAGAAATTATTCAAACAACCTGAGTACTTGGAGTAGTCTAGCAATTGAATCTAATGATTGGAACCATGGAAAGTAAGGTAACAAGACATAAATTTCATGTCTAGGAGAATGTTGAAATTTGTTTCTTTTCTCCAATTCCCAGATATTGTACCTTGTTACATTGGAATGACAGTAAAATTACAAAACTAAACATTATTTCCGTTGTTTAAGAAGTTGCACGCAGCTATTGCAGGTTACTTCGATCTACCACTGATGAATCAAAAGTTTAAGATGAAAGACAATAGAGATATCTACCTTGCCTTCAATCTTTCAAAAACTTTTATCGTAACAATTTGTGAGGCCATGCAGGCATCAAGGTTTACAAATACTACCCGGTTTCCTTGAGACTGGGACTCTGCCACAATAAAGGCACGAGCTCGCAACCTGAAGTGAACTCCAGATGCAATTTGTTCTATATTTGCATATCCCATCATATTGACATCTGCAGCAGGCCCTGTTATGTCATAGCTTCCAAGGCCAATCAAGTAATTGGATGCTGATGAAGCCCCTCCTCCACTTAGTAGTATGACTAATAGGAGACCACATGACCAGATAGACATTGTTGTAAACGGTCTTCGTACTAATGCATAGAGAGGTGGAAACATCTCCATTACGTTTCTCCAGAAAGATGGTTATTTCTCATATGAATCTTTCCATACTTTGCAAAGAAAAACGCAAATCGCACGAGTCAATTCTTCAACTCATACAAAGCAGATTATTGAAAGGCATGTGAATAATGGCATTCCAAACACTTAAAAGAGTATCATTTCAATACAACAAAAAAACACATATTTGCTATGATAAGATATATGTAAGGAATTTTTTCATGACCATCTTGACTTTTGAAACAAGATGCACTAAAATTCCCAGAAAGAGAGTAAGACNTGTAAGGAATTTTTTCATGACCATCTTGACTTTTGAAACAAGATGCACTAAAATTCCCAGAAAGAGAGTAAGACCACCTTTTGTTCAGTATGTTCCTAAATTAGTTAATGTAAGCACAATCACATAATCTAAAGAAAAGAAAAACAAATAGGCATCACCCAATCCATTTCACTTATGTAAACAAGCAACCAAAAACAGGTTGAAACTAACGAGATGACACTTTGCAATGTTCCAATCCTAACATTTGTAGAAGCTTCAAACCAAGTTTTTTTTCTTTTGTCTATTAACACCTTTTGTGATTGGCAAACCCAACAAAAATCCAAAATGCTGCCTTTTTCATACATTACTGAAAAAACCCAACTAGGATATAACAACAGGTCGTTCAAAATCAGTTTGCATCTATTTTCTTTAGATATTCACTAGAGCAATTATGATCAGGAAATCGATCCCGAGCAATTGTTTGGATCTATTATGATATGGTCATGACGCGCTCAACGGACCTTTTGTAATCTTAAAAAACCTTTTTTATACTTTGAATTGATGCAAAAACAACCTTTTTGTACAATCTAATGTATATTCATATCCCAATAAGAAGTTCTTAGATAGAGCTGCTTCATGTTTTACATAGAAGATATTACTCTACTCCAAATCACGCAACCAACCATTAGCCAAAAATCAAATCCAACATGCCGTCAAACAATGGCAACACCCCACCAAATATAACAAGTTCAAGAAAAACAGAAACACCCATCTGTATGTATGTAGGTATGTACGTATGTAGCTCTATTTGTGTGTTTGTGTATCTATCTATATATATATAAAACAATCGAATTAGGTGGGAGGGTTTCCTTTTTTCTTAGAATTTAGAATTTTTTAATTCAAAACTTAATACTCTCTCCATTCAGACGCTGACATTAGTAACTACCCATCAAGTCTTCAATAACTAACCAATATTTTTTAAAAAATTTCAAAAAAAAAAAAAAC